TTATATTTTTTATATATTTGTTTTGCAGGAGAAGAATCTGATATAGTACTATTATCTCTTGTAAGAAGTAATACGGAAAACAAAGTCGGATTTCTTCGGACTCAAAATAGAGTTTGTGTGGCTTTGTCAAGAGCTCGAAATGGACTATTTATTATCGGAAATATGTCGCTTTTGCTAAGTTCTAACAGCGAAAATGAGGTGTTGTTTAGCGCGTTTTTATATTTTGTTTAAAACTTAAATATTTGTTCCGCAGCAATTATTTTAAATTTACTACGGAAGCAAGATTTTTTATTGCAAATATCGATGTCATATCTTATATTATTTTTTAATGGAGCGCACTCTATATTGCGTGGTCAAATCCCTTTTATTTTTCTAATAGAATGATAGGCTACGATATATTTGGGCCAGCAATCAGTTTCTAGTTAATTGGTAAAACACAGACAATATTTCTTATGGCATTCCACGAAAACGGCATTTCATGTAATAGTCCTCTGTTTACTTTATTATGAGTCAAAGATGTTGTTTATATATCGAAATATCTAGACATTTTGATTTTAAAAAAATATGCACGACAAAAAAAATTGCTCATATTTTAAAAACGACATTAACTCGTAACCCTCGTAATGCGGACAAATTTATAATTGATATATTTATTATAATGAGTGGTAAATTATACAATCACAGTCATAACTAAATATACTACACCTAAAAATTATTTGCATTTTTAGATCTGGAAGAAAGTAAACACTGTGTTAGAAGAACAAAATGCTATTGGTTCTCACTTGCTTTTAAAGTGTCAAATTCATCCGGTTAAGTTGACTAAAGTCTCTAAAAGCTCGGATTTTGACAAACTGAGCGAAGGAGGCTGCGATATGATTTGTAACGCCGAACTTGGTTGCGGGCATACGTGCAAACGACTTTGTCATATACAAGATAGAGAGCACACACAATACAGATGCACGGAAGAGTGTTTAAAGTATGCTAAAGTTAGAAATATTAATGGGAAAATATACTTTCCGTTTTTCTTTAAAGAAAATGCACAAACTGTCTAGGAAATATTATTCAATAAGGGTTCTTGCAAGCTAAAGTTTAAAGTTTTCTGGTAATTTAAGGCAACAAATTTTGAACTCAGAAATTAATTTTTTCCCACGTAGATTTGTTTTTGAAACTTAATGGTGGCACATATTTTCTTCTATATGATCTCAGACAATCTTAAAAAGTTTTGAAAACGGCATTTTGTGTTGCACAAGGGATTACTACAGTCTATTATATTTTAAAGATTATATATTTATTTTAGACCTCTTTGTAACAACGAATTGCATGTGTGCTTGAAACAATGTTACAAAAATTGTGGGCCTTGTATGTACATCGTCCGCCGTACTTTAGATCAGTGCGGCCACGAGGCCGATATGTATTGCCATATAGATCCAGCGAAGTTTAAATGCAATGAATTGGTACACACCAAGTTACCGTGTGAACATGAAGCTGATAAACCATGCCACGTGGATCCTCATCAATTTAATTGTCTATTCCCCTGCGATACCAGAGTGGAACCATGTGGACATGCGTGCCACCAAACTTGTCATATCGGAGATGATCCTGATCACTTGCAAGTTAGTAAAATTTATTTATTTACCTACGACCATTACTGTGAGTAGTATAAAGCACACTACCTCCCATCTAAGTAAGTTACTTTTTACGCATTGTAATTAAAAACGAGTAGCTAATATTAAGTAAATCCATTTACTAATATCCCATATTTATATTTATGATATCTACAATTTTAGTATAAATGTAAAGAACCATGTGCCAAAAGTAAAGTCGGATGCCGCCAAGATCCAGATGAGAAACACCTTTGTTCAAGATTGTGTTCTGAAGAGTGTGACGAATGCCTCAACAAAGTATCACGGCAGAGGTCATGTGGCCATAGGTCTAAAATACCTTGTAGTCTGGATGTCGAAGAAGTTGACTGCCAAAAGCCATGCAAATTAAAGCTGCCCTGTGGCCATGAATGCGCAAATTCCTGTTCCAAAGCTTGTGGACCTTGTAAAGTTAAAGTAAATGAATCTGATACTATTGCATTATATCCGTAATTACAAATCAAATATGTGATACCGTTTTAATTTTCAGGTAGAAAAAACTGTTGTGGACTGTGGGCACAGTCTCAATATCGAGTGTTCCGTAAATCCAGAAAGGAAGCACTGCATTGCTCGATCGTGTCCGAGGCTATTGCCTTGTGGACATAAATGTGAGAAAAAATGTACCGATCAGTGTACCGATGTATGCACTAAATTAGTGGATTGCAATATTGAGTCGCCTTGTGGTCATGTTATTAAAAAAATTGTATGCCACATGGAAAGTACTAGTAAGTATCTACATTATTTGCAAATGCGCATAATATTACTTAATTGACCACACTTTGCATTTTACTCTTCAAAATATAGTATAGCTTCAGTCAGATAAGTCAAGATATATGGAAGATAATCAGCCCTGTGCTGTATCATAAATGCTATTTTTAACGGCCACACGTTATGGCGACTTAACAGTTCAAGATAACATTTTCGATAACGCAGCAACACAACCGAGGTGTGCTATATCTCCAAGTTAACGTATGCGTTTCCGACCCTGTTATCCATCAAACGTTGAAAAGGAAAAAATATTGGGTGCATAAAGTGAGATGCCCTTATACGAATAGTCTATTAGTTAGAGAGAGAGTTAACATCAAACCATCGAAGGTTCTAAAACATATGCACATGTGCACGTGTTGGCCATTTGGGCCACCTACTTCCATACTTGTCTTTGTTTATGATTTGCATTCACTTTCAATTTCGTTCGTTATTGTTCTTGA